CGTACGGGGACTGCACCTGTGGGCAGAGCGGGGTGGCACCGCGGTGGCACCAGGACACGGACGTGTACCCTGAGCCACCGGCGAGAGCTCTGGCTGCCAGGCAGAGCCGTCACCACGGCAGGGCCGGACTTTGCCCCTGCTGCAGCCACCGTTCACCCACCTGGCAGCTCCGGGTGTCCCTGGGGATGCTGGAATGCCGGGACTGCGCCGCGAAGGCGTCCTCGGCTCGGAGCGTGGAGCTGGCGCTGCCGGGCATGGGGCTGGTGGAGGCGCGGGGCAGGATCACGTCATAAGGACCTTCGCTCTGAGGGACAGACACGGGGGTGGAAGGTTTGGAAGGTGCTCACCCCGTTACAGCGGCACAGGGGGCGCAGGAGCCCCCCACCCACACCCTGTCCCCCGTGCCCGTCGCTCCTGGCAGGATGTGGCCGCCCCTGGTGTCACACTCACCGTCCCCTTGTGCATCAGAGCCATCTCGGTGGGCTGGTAGACGCTGGTCAGCAGCTGCCCGTTGTAGCCACTGTATGGGGACACCGGCTTCTTGGCTGCTGGGACACGGGGACAGTCACCACGGAGCCACTGCCACCCCGCTGGGGCTCCCTGAACCTCGTTAGCAGGTTTAACGAGCTGACTCAGCAGCTCCGTGCCTTTCCCGCGGGACACTCCTGTCCCCAGGGATGGCATCGCTGCTGCCTGCCCGTGGCTTGTTATTGTAGGGCCTCTCGGGTGCGGGTGCTGCTCAGGGGGACCCTCCCTCTCCCACGGGGCGCAGACACCGCCCACGATACCCGCTGGGACCGTCACCAGCCCGTGTTATTGCAGGGTCTCGTGGGCCTGGGGCGGAGGGGCAGGAGCCGCGGGCACCCCACGCCGGGGAGGGAGCTCCCTGCGGCTGCCGGGCTCAGCCCAAACTGGTACACCCAGCCCGGCCAGTTCTCGGGAGCCACAACAGCAGCAGGCGCCAGGGCAGGTCACTGCCAGACGTCTCATCACCCACCCACCGCTGCCATCCCCGGTGGGGACATCCCCAAGGGTCCCCAAGAGGATGGTGCCCTCTGGCAGCCCCGCCGCGGGGTGAGAGGGTCCCTTTGGCGCCTACCAAAGGACGGCTCATCCATGGAGAAGGCTTTGTTCTCCACGAACATACTCTGCGACTTCTGCTCCTTGAGGATGGTCTCGTAGCCCACCCCACGCGTGGGG